TTTCATGCTTCCTTTCCCTGAAATGCCATTAGATGAACATCAAGTGCTTTTGTATTTATTTGAGGGAATTTCCTTTTAGACTCTGCAGGCAGAGAAAAAAAATGGGCATTGGAAGGGAGCTGGGACTGAATTATGCCTCTGACTGGCAGTGCCTCAGTGAGAGCCCAGGAGCTCGGCTTGCTGCCTCATTTATATCCATCAGAGGTGCCATGAGCTGCAGACTGGGATAAGTTACCTCGTCTGAAGGACTGAAATACCACATCAAAGCACCATGTGGATCAAAGGTGAAAGCAACAGGCATTCCCATCTGGCTCATCTTTCAGACCTTTCTCTCTCTTTGGTTTCCACTTTGGATCTGATAATGCCTGAACGCAGCCTTTCATGCGCCTCCGCTCCTCGGGGCACGGGTGGCATGGAGCGTGTATTTCCTTGTCAGCAGGCTCTGTGGGGCTTGGGGTTCCAAGGCTTAGTTAGCTCTCAGGCATCACTGATGGGAAAGATTTATCATTTTGAACAAGGCAGAAAAGACTGATGGAGTCAGAGCAGCAGAGCAGAGCGCTCCTGCCCCAGATACACAGTGGGGTGCAGGTCTACAGAGAGCAGCTCGACGGTGAGGCACCAAAATTCATCTGCAGCACGTGCCCTCCCAGGGAATCAACCCCATCATTTAAAACTTTATAAGAAGAGACACTAAAGCATCCTTGAGCCTTGGAGGGGACACACTCAAACTCACAGGGTAAAACTGAGAAGGCCATGTCCACTGACACTCAGGTCCCAGTGGCACTTGGAAGCACCATGAAAATGTTTATGCTAAATGAAGTAAATGTAGTAAATTGCTTCAGAAACTCAGAAATGAGCTTTTCACTCCACTGCTCTGTGATTTGTGTCACAGGAGGCAGATGAAGCTGTGTTGCTCAGTCCCTATGAAAATCTGGATGTTAACTCTTCCATACTGTAGGTTTATCCTGTAGTGTTTCTTGTCAGTGGGAATCAGAATCAGCACAGCATGAAGGAAAGGCCTCATGACCCGAAAAAAAATCTCTATTCTGACATTTTCCATCATTCAGACCCTTTCAATCATGTCACCAAACTCTTACTGAGTCCCTAGTGGCTGTCTCTGGGTGAAAGTCTCTTTGATAGATGTTCTCAGCTGTGTATTCCTGCTGCAGTTTGGTGTCAGAATCAATAGATGAGCTTAAGTGGGATTTGTGGAGATGCCTCCTGGATTCAGAGCTCAGTGCTACTGTGTAGGGCCTGAGCAAGTAGCTTTTGAATTCTAGACCCTCCTATATCTGTGGGTTCATGTAAAATGAAATATCACATTATGTTAAAGCTGAGTTGGATTCCTACATGTCAGGGTTGATCCCCAAGGTTTATAAAGCTGTTCAGACTGGCAGCAAGATGAACAAGGCAATTGTATGGTTCTTTCCCCTGCTCCAATCTGCAAAAGGAAAACATTGTGACTCACCAGCCAGAGAAGTTGTACTTTCTTCAGCAGGAAGCTTTGCAGATTCTCTGCTCCCAGATCTTGTTACACTCTTCCATCCCACTACTCTGGAAAAACTCCCACGGAAAGACAGGCAGATATTTTAATCAAGAAATGGCCCTTATTTCCATTAGCAACAGCTGTTTTTCTTTTAATTCAATTCTCCATTCTGCAGTCTGTTTATGAAAGCTGCCATTAATTACATTTTTCATCAGTCAATGTTCAGAGATGGCTAATGGCCCAGCACACCTAATTAGTCCTTCATGTATGATAACGTTTCATCAAGTCTATAGTTAGTGTGCAGGGCAGATATGCACTGTGCAGTGGGGCTGGCAGTGGGGCTGCCCAGGCTCTCCGGGCTGGGACGGATCCAGTTACAGCCGCGTTCCTGCTGCTGCCAGCATGGGGAGCTGGGGCTGCGATGGCAGCGACTGCCAGCAGTGCTTCCAATGTCACTCTGAGCATGCCAGCTTCAGGGTGAAGAATTCAAGCTGCCTTTGGAAGCTCTTTGAAGACAAGGAGTGCAAAGACTGGAATGACACTTACCTTTGAGTTTTTTAACTAGTGATGCACTCGATAAGTGTTAGTGATGGCTGAATTTGCTGTGTTAGAGTGCCTTCCTTTAGCTTTTTCTGTGCAGAAGCCTTCTGGTCATCCTTGACTAGGTATTCCCAGTTGATCCATCTGTCTTAAGCCACAAAGCTGGCTCTTTGTGATGCCTTCTTTAATGTCACTGTGGCATGACTTAAACTTACTTACCCAGTGGTGCAACTGGGTTTAGACAGGCCTTTGGTTAGGTGTAGCCAAAGGTTTGACACAACTGTCCAGAAACTATGGGCATGAAAACAACTCATCTTTGTTCAACAAGGTGCAGGAGTAGGTTTAATGAATTCCTCAGATACCTTAATCCAGCTGGAGCTGGAGTCTGAACATCACACTCAGCTGGAACTTTGCCTTTATTTTGAAGGTGTTTGCAGCTGCAAAGAATAGCAGTAGTTATTAGCAGGTAGCCTCAGGTAAGAAACATTTCAAATCCTCTGGTACAGAGGTAGTTTTTGAAAACTATCCCCACCTGTCACAATCGTGTATTGCAATGTCACCAGCGTGTGTGCAGAGCTGTCTCTGTTCCCTCGCCCAGGCTGTCACCTGCAGAGTTCAGGACATTGTGGAAAATTGCACAGACTGAGTAGGGACATGTTTTGTTTATCTTGGTGCGAAAGTGGCAAATGACCGGAGAAGGATTTGCAGTACTGTATTGCATAAGGCAGTCACTCACCTTCAGCCCTTCCTGTGCCTGAGGCAGTCTGGACCCACGATCCCTCTTTGCTTTCTTCATTTGCCATTGCTGTGAGCCCCATAGGAAGCTGCAGGAAAGGCAAACTGATGCAGCAGGATTTGCTGTATGTAATAATAACAGTGTTCAGCAGTGAGACCACCTCGCTGTGTCTGAGGAATGAGAGATGCTCCAGTATTCCACCTGATGCTGCAGGTACTCCTCTGTCCTGTAGAATCACATCAGGCTTATGCAGAGGTTCTCTGGTGAGTGTTCAATTGGCCAATTTCTGACTGTGTGACCTCACTAAATTAAAGCCTTTTGACTGTTGGAGGAATGAATCTGCCATGCTGCTAAACAGACAGAAGCTTTTTCACAAGACATCTGCTTCCAAAGCAAATGAAATCTGCTTTGATTTTCATGGCCTGTTGAGGGATGACAGCAGCACTGCAAGGAATCATCCAGGATTGGCTCAGAAACAGTTTAAAGGAGAATATAAGAGCAGCTCAGGTGCTGGTATTTGAGAGGAGAAACAAAATGCAAGTGACCTGTTAAAAAATATGTCCTACTCACAAAGCCTCCCGGTCTCATGCTGCAAAGGGGTATAATTGCAGACAGAATGGGTTTAGACACAGAATAACTCTGCATTTAGTATTACTCTGACCTAACAGGGTTTTTTGGCAGGGGAGGAAGGCAAGTGTCCTACTGCTGTTCCTTGTTCAGTCGCCTCTTTGCTGGCTGTTTGATCACCTCAACTTTGAGCTCCTCTGAAGTGTCTCAGCTGGAAAGTGCTGGATTTATGGGGCTCTTGCAATGGTGATATAAGAAATGGTCTCGCAGGGTGTTATGGTCCTGCTGTCAAGTCCTTCACTGGAATCCCAGAGTAACTCCAGTGCAGCTGATGGGTTACTGTCATGTAAATAAAGGCAGCATTCATCTCCTGGACATCACCTTCTGGCCTCTTCTGTTGGCAAATGAACCTGATGTAATATTGCAAAAACACATCCTTTGAGTGAAAGTGATAAGAAAGACAAATGTTTGACTTTAGCCAGGGAATTTAAAACTCAGAGTCCTTTGAAGATTGCTGAGTTCTGCGCTGTGTTAGTCGTCCATATCTATCTAAGAAAACACTCATTTCATCACAACTGGTGACATAAATTCAGACTTGTGAGCAAATGGCTAGGTTGAGTTAAATCACCTCTCTATCTGCTAATGGCATTTTTGCTTTTGCTTCATGATGAAGGTTATCTCCCTGTTTGGAAATTATAACCTACAACTGTTAGACAGCATTATCTGCAGACTTGGGTGAGATAATTTGTATGAAAAATCCAGGGAATCTGGGGCTTATTGGCTTCCATTCACATGAAATAGAAACTCTTCAGGTCTCCGGCCGCCCTCACATATTCCTGCTGCTATACAGTGGGGAAGGAATAGCAGCTGGCAGATGATGGATAGCAATGCTGCAGCCCAAACTAAGGTTAGCAGTGACATCACTGATAGAAAGGGAAGCAGCTTGAGCTGTTTATAAAACTCCAGTTGGGAAGTTTGCCCCAGACTGCATTAGCCTCTGTTCGCTGCCTACTCTGCTTTTCCCCACTCAAATTCCAAGCTCCTTCAAGGGAAACAAACATCTGCAGAGACACAATGTTAATTGTTCTGCTTAGGGCTGCTGTTTACATTTTTGGTGCGAGCAAGTCAAAGCATGTCAAGGCTATCCTGATGGCTAAAACAAGCCAGAAATCTTGTTCCGGCTGAAATAACATGGGGCTGGATTCTGATCTCGCCTACCAAACCTTTTGGGATTGGCCACGGAGGGTGGAAATCAGAACCTGTGCAAATCAGAGGGTGCAGAAAAAAAAGCAGCAGAGAGGCTGGTAAGAGGGGGAATGTGCTGGAGCCACCAGGGAAGCATCACAAGGTTAATGCAGTTTTCCATTATCTGAAAACAGGGATTACTCTGCATTTGTAAGCTTAAAATTGCCATCTTCCCTGGGTTCTGCTCCCACCACAGTCCAGCCTAATGGCTCCTTATCAGGGATGATGAATCGCTCTTGAGCCTCCACTTTGGTCCCTAATTTCCACTTTCCTTGCATCTGCTTAAAGTCCTTTTTAATTTTAACACATACAGCAGCCGCTGAGCCAAGCGTGGCCCTGGTGCTCACAGTCATCCTGGTAATTACCGTGCTCACCAGGTCCCTTTAGGATGCAATTTCAATGGGGTGTGACTTTCACAATATTTTTTTTCTTGTTGTTGCTTGAGCCACTCCAGGAAGGAACTGTTAAACACGAGTCTCAGCAGGATCCATCATGACTGAGGACAGAACAGAATGTAATGAAACAGGGTGAATACGTGTCTCACTGAGCAGGATATGTTCTCTTATTTATATGGTTGATAAAGCTTTGGCTGAGGTTCAAAAAGGTGTTCAGCTTTCATCTCTCTGTCTTCCTTCCTCCACTCCCCTAAATATTAATGCTGCATGCATGCCTACCATATTCATGGCTACTTTAATTGTTTACAGGTTTTTTTTAATAAAGGTTTTGACCCTTTGCCTGTGCAGTTGCACAAGCCCTTCTCTGTCCTCAGACCTGTGCTCCCGCCATGGCAGGGCAGCTCTGTGAGAATGTAACGTGGCAAAGAAAAGGCAGCAGGATTGGGAAGTGGCAGCTGGCAGTGGGAGGAAGGATTTGTCGGGTTGGGGTGTGCCTGTTGAACCCCAAGTTCCTCAGTAAGCATTGTTTAACAGCTGGGTTCCCGGGTCAGGAGGAGGTGACAGGGCATCCAGTGATTGTCTGTCCACATGGATATCTATGCCAGGAGCAGTGGAAGGATGTGTAGTTCCTGCAATGCTGACTGTTTGTCACCAAGTGCTCCCTTCATGGGATCTCATACCTCAACACACATTTCACAAAAATTGCAGAAGCTGGGAGTAAATCAATCACACTGCTCTGCTTTGATCCTGTGCTCTGCTCTTTCTATATCAGCCAACATATAGATCACGAAATTCTCCTTTATCACCTTTTTGGCTATGTTTGCAGTGAAAAATTATGGTACTTGAATTAGGGCCTGTGTTTATGAAAAGAGACAGGAATGATTGATATTTATGTGAACATGAATTAAACCAGTAGTTTTAATTCTATGGCAATTAATTAAATCAGGGAAGTGACAAATAAGAGCATAGACATCCAATTAGGGGCTGTTGCACAGGCATATGGAGAAAATAAAGAATTTTTTCTGATATAATGTGATTTAGATCAAGCCCTTAAGAAGGAATAGACTTTCTTCTCCAAATAATTATTCATGCAATTCCTATCAGAACAGGAATTTACTACAGTGTCTCTGGCCAGCCTGTCCTCTCCATCTGAAGAGGCTTGGGTTCCTGTCCTCCCTGAAAAGACTGGATTTATAAAACACACTAGCAAAAAGCTGTGCATGAAAAACTGTTACAACATTCCCAGTCGGTAGCTGGGAAGGAGTTTGTAAGTGATGCAATTTAATGTTTATTTTCCCTCAGAGTTAAACACTTTTCGGATCATCCCCAATGTGCAGGGAGATGAGCTGGCTGGTGATCTGACCCTGCTTCTGCAAGGGACCAGGCAGCGCTGAGAGTCTGTGAGCAGCCTCTGCTGCCGTTCCCGCTGCTCAGCTCAGAAAGCGCTCGGGTTATTTCGCTCTCCCTTAGCTCATCTCACACCGGGCGGGTTGTGAAGGGCTCCAGAAGGCGCTGCAGGGGCAGCGGGCAGGGATGCTGTCGGGGCAGAGGCGGGTGAGCGGGGCCCGCGGGGAGCGGAGCGGCGGCTGCCGGCGAGCCGCTGGCACGGCCCCGGCGGCCGGGCAGGGCTCCGCATCCCCGCCTGCCCCGGGCAGCCCCGGAGCGCCGGCTGTGCCCGCAAAGTATGCAGCAAAATAAAAGGAAACCATGCTTACGTTTCGGTTTTCGTGGCTGGCTTTTTATGGATGGATTTTTACATCTCTCTTTCTTTTTCTTGGTCATGAAAGCAGTCGGGCTGCCCAGCAAATCCAGATCTGAATTCCTGAACTTGGGAGGCGTTTTGTGCAGGCTAACGTCTACCAGCCTGAGATCAAGTCAAGCATCATGCACCGGTGATCTTCATTTTCCAGGCTTGTAATTCTGGCTTTACAGGAATGAAGGACAAAGACACTGAATAAGTAAAAGAAATAGTGTGGGGCAAAATCCATATGGAATGGACACATTGGTTGAAACATCCCATTTCCTGAAAAATTGATTTTGAGGTATCTGTCAAAGCAATCCCTGTATTTATGATTATTATATCACATGGCCTTGGCATGGATTTTGGGTTTTTCGAGAGGACCACCCAGAAGTGGGCCAGGTTTGGTTATTGGATTTACTAAACAGGACAAGAAGCACAGAGCTCTTGCCTGCTGTTCAAAAATAATATCGCAAGGGAAGCAAACCACAGGGAGACCACAGGGAGGTGAAGCCCATTTTCCACTTGCTGAGGGAACTGCCCTTGCTTGCTGCAGAATGCAGTCTCCATATGCTGGGAATGATTCCCAAAAGTACTCCATCCTTGCTGGCTCTGCTTCCTTTCAGAAGCTGCATCCACTGGGATGTAGGGTGAGGAAGTGGCTCTGAACAGGATACTCTGGGGTGTTTTCTCTGTGCAGTGAGGTGGAGAGAACAGCCTGTAAGAGAAAACACCAAATGGTGTTGGAGTAGAACAGAGAAAGCCTGTTTCTCCCTGTCAGTGGTTCTCAAGTTATGGATCCTGGATCACCTGATGGCCAGGGAGAGCTTTCTGGACACAGCGCACAGCAGAAAGGGCTGCTCCTGTGCCAGACATGCCTCAAGGCTCATTTTGCTCTTGGTGCCCTGCTCTCTTCCTGCCTCAGCCAGAAGGATGGGGAGGAGGAAGACCATGTGCTGATGGAGAGAAGGGAGAGAATTTTCCCCTCCCTAAGAAGCCATTGAAATGGAACACAAAACCAGGGAGGAAAAGTATAGGTGACCTGCAGGGACTGGGAATTTAGGATAGCTGTGGAAGCCAGGCTTCTTGTTGTCTGCAGGAAGAAGGATAAGAGGTGGTGAAATAAATATGACAGATTGTTTCAGAAAGAGACAACTCAGAGTTCTGAGGCATTTGAATCTGAAAAGAGAGGCATGGAGCTGTGCCTTGTAACCTAAGCACAAACCACACCAGGATTTCCAAGCAGTAGTGGCACACAGGTGGATGAGCTGTGTTGCTGGAATGAACCCCAAGGGATCTGGAGGGACCAGTGGGATCTGAGGATCTACTTACTGACTGTCATATGTGGGCAAGGTTTCGCCATTACTTAAGGCATGAGCTGGATCATGGAGGTGCAATGCTGCCACAGCTCTGCTGCACAGTATGGTTCAGGGGCAGGAGCCAAAACTGTGACCAACAGGCCAGAATATGCCAGAACCTGTGAGCATTGAGTGCAGTGATTCTTTCCTACACCAAGTCATAACAGGTTTTGCAGTATCAGCATTGTTAGGTGCTGGTATGGATGGGAAGGAAAGAGGCACTGCAGATCTTTAACTCTCTGTGCACTGAATAAGTGACTACTCTTCAGTTTCTCAGAAGTTAAAGGGTCAATGAGAAAAGCTCCCTCCCCTGACCTCTCTCCCCTAATGTGCTTGTTGATTTCTCCTCCTCCTAAACATGATTTTTGTTGTGTTTACTCATTCATATGCATATATCACATGGACACATACATCATCCATCAGTGCAAATGTCACGCTGTGCAAAAGCCCTGGGTCCAGAGCGACAGCTGAGTTAGAGCCTGTGCTCTGGAGCAACCTCCTTGCCAAGATGTTGTAGCTGGATGGTTTTAAACAGAACTCAGTTATGGAAAGATCCACCAGAAAAAGAATCTGCGGTCACAAGCTGCTCTTGGGGAAGCTGCCAGCTCCTGTGGGCCACTGGCCTTCTCATGGGGACACTGAGGTGGCCATGGAAGGGCTACAGAGGGGGTTGTGATCACAAATGTTCCCAGCTGGTTGGTTTTTGACTTCTGCAAAATGACTCATCACTCTTCTTTCTGCTGAATTGATTTGAAGGTGCTGGTGCTGATTCTGCTGCCGAGCTCAGGGCTGAGGATTAAATGGCACAAAAACCTCATCACTGTCACTTCTCTTGTTGGCTGGAGCCCAGTTTGGAGGAGCAGCCTCTGGTGCACAGCAGTGATGCCACACTTGCTTAGGCAGATTCATTTCTCAGGGTCCTACTTACTACTTCTGCCTTTATTCTGCTGCACAGGCATCTATTTTTTTTCTTTTCACAACAATTTGGAGTTTTCATGGCAACAGCTGTGAAAGCCAATGGCACTCATACAAGTCAAACTTCAAGCAACACTCTGCAGAATATACAGAATACTCTATTTTAGTGCACCACATCATTAATTAGGAGAGACAGACTGGGCAGGTTTGGAAAATATGATCTCTAGTGTTCAATTTTTAAATAGGATTTTGAAGTGGCCATTGAGATTCTCTGCAGTTTCTGCACATAGAGGAAAATATAGCTAGAAAAATTAGGTCATATATTGATTAATCTCAGAACCGAAATAAATTATTTATATTAGTTACCAGCTGACTCTGTTTGTGATGGTTCTCCTGGCTATGGTCTTATTAACTTAATGTGGTCATAACAGAAGGAAAGAGAGGGATTGATGGTGTAGGAACCCTGAAAATCTGAAGAGTTGCTAAATTTATCCCAGTAATTCTGTGCTTAGAGCAAGCAGGAATTTCAATTTTCATTGATGTAATTTATAAAGCACAGGTATTGTACATGACAAGAATAATTTCCTTAACCCATGTGGTGAGACATTCACACTTGAGAACCCCAGTGTGCCACAGACAGTGTCACCAATGGTGGAGCTAGAGGTACAGGTGACAACATGATGGACTCCCACATTTAAAGGCTGATACCTATTTAAAACCTGTGCTTTTATAAATAAAAGGTGATGCTATAATTATTAATTTAGAAGTTTATTTTTCTCAAATCACGCTCCTTTTTCTTTTTTAGGTTGTGCTCTTTTCTTTCTAAAATTTTTAACTGAGCCTTTTCTGCTTACATTTTTTTCACTTGAAATGTTGGGTGGGTGATTTCTAAAGGTAACCTAATGTCAATATTATCTCTGCTTCAAGTGAGAATATAATTAATACAAAAATATTCAGATTTCTAATATATTTTTCAATATTAGAAACCCAGCATTTTCCCAAAATTGTACTGGATCCAACTCCCATTTTGGATTTGGAAATGCTTTCAGTGAAAAGGTTCTAACCATCTTGATTTATTTTTAAAGCAGCAATGATGTTTGCAGTAGGCTGTAATTATCTTTAGTTCCAAGATCTTTGATCACAGTGTATTCACATCTAAATCTGAGTTGGGATCTAGATCTCTCTTCTTTATGCCTCAGGCTATAATTTGTGGGGCTTCTTTGGCAAAAGAATTTCTTTTATGAGATACACACATACCAGAGCAGCACCACTTTTGCCCTGGCTGTGTGGGAGTATACAAACTTATAAAAAATGGATTGTGATGCCCTTTAGAGGGAAGGGAGAAGGGAGAAGTCTCATATTCTAGCCCTAGGATTTTGATAATGCTGGAAGCAGCATCAGCTGAGCATCAGATATTTGAGGTTAATGCCTGCCTTGTGGAAATCAGTGTGCTATGGGATTTGATTCTTGTGTAAAAGAAGAATATAGACTTGGAATTTAGAGATAGGAGTGATCTGAGCACAGTGCTCAGGGCTGACCAGGTGGGAAACAGCTGAGGCTCTACAAGATCTGACTGAAAAATACTCAGAAATAATTGCAGAAATGGTCCAGTTGTTCAGCTGCTCTTTAGCAAGAGATTTCTGTGTCTGTAGGAGTATTCTCTCCTGTTTAGCTTTAATTTGAGTCCCTAAAATAGACAGCTCATCTTGCCAGACTCCCACGGAGGGAGGCTGAGGCTCCTCCACAGGCTGAGTCAGGAGGACAGAGCAGTGCCTGCCTGTAGGATCCACAGCATCCACAGCATTTATGAGCAACCCCCATCCCTTCTGTACAGCCCCTCAAAAATGGAAATAAACCTTAGCTCATTTCCACTGGCAAAACCATAAGATTCTCAGTGAAAACTTTATTTGAGTGCAGCTGGGACTGGGATTGCTGATCTCAATAAAAATCCCAGATTTCTCTGAACTGTTGGGTACATCCATACTGCCACACATCAGCTACAGAATGGAACATGAAAACCTTTGTTTATGTGTTCTCAAATTTGATTACAAGACTTCCATATTAAAACATACTTTTCCAAATAAATAATTTAAGCACAGCTAACATGTCTTTTCCTTATCACCATTGTTGTGATAATGGATGATGAAAACAACTGTGTTCCTGAATTGCTAAATCTTGGGAAAATAAGGAAGCAAGTTTTAGCTGTATGTGTATTTTCATGTTAAACCTGTATAACCAAGATTGCAGAGCCTCAGAGCTTACCATCCTCTATCAGGCAAAATGATTTAATTTCTGCTTAAATCTTAAATCATTGTCTGTTTATAGAAAAATGCCAGATGACAGGAGCAGCGAGAGGTAAATGGGAGGATGCTGAATGCTATCAGTTTTGACTGAGAAGGCACAATAAATCTATTTCTAGCAAGAAGAGAACCGTGCTGCTGGTGAAATGCCATTATCCTGCCTCTTCCAATATGTTTTCACCTGATGGATCAGAGAAGAAAATATCGGTATTAGCACAGAACAGATTTCCCCTCTGAGTGAAAGTGACTTTATATCAGAAACACGTGCTAAAGATGTCTTTTGCATTCCTGCTAATTTCTCAGATCCAGCCTTGGGCATATGCTCCTTATCTAATCTTGACTGCTGCATTAAACCAATGTCTGCTATTCTACTTTATCCTTTGTGTCATTGCAGACATGGTTTCTATTTTCTTAGCACTTCACCAAGGTAACGTGTAACTGCTTGGAAAATGTTAACATCTGTGAAGGAAAAAAAGAATCAAAGGAAGGGAATTAATCAAAGCCTTGAGATTTATGGGCTAAATCCTTGGACTTTGGGCCAGGTAGTAGGTTTGTTTCTCTGCTGAGGCAGCTTATATGCAGATGCCTGAGCTACTTCTGGTGATAAACCTGA